GGCACATTCCAGGCATCTCAGAGCAAGCCTGATTGCCTTCACTTACTGTGACTTATCTAATGAGGAAACCTCCATTAACTGCAAGAGGAAGAATTGGGGAAAATTCCCATTTAAAAGTTATTTCTCTAGTGCAGTATTTGATTATTGATCTTATCTATGAGGACTAAACTACAATTCTTCCTATACCATTGCCATCATTTTATTTAAAAAAAGTTACATGCCAAAAACAGGAAAAAGAACTGCCTAATATTTCCTTATAATATGAATAAAATCCAGGGCTGGAGAGCTATTTCCTTATTGGGTCTCCAAGGAGAAGTTACTCTTGTACACAAGTTCCTGTTTGCTTACCAGGCAATCCAACTGAGAGACAGGGCTCTTGTTGCCGGGTTGGCTAATATCCCAGACTTTGACACATCCCTTTCCACCTGTGTACACGTGTCTTGTGGGGTTGCTGATGGTAACTGCACATACTACTTCCCCGTGATTCAGAGTGTTGATCTGACGAGCATGGCGAGGGATTCCTGGTCCAATGAGGGCATCGGGAGGGAAAGGTACAGGCTGCATCTGACCATCCGCAGTAACGTGAAAGGAGTATGCTCTTTGGGGGGGAAAGCGGGAGCAGGAGGGAGAGGAATGACAAAGATGGAGAATTATGTCAACCATTACATTGCTGAGCTATGACAAATAAGAACAACCTTTACCAGTTCCTTAGATTGACATAATGTGAAAAATAAAATCATCCAAGCTGCAGTGCCAAGTGCTATGCACACACAAGAAATTTGGGATGAGAAGAGAGGACTTACAACAGACAATTCCATCTCCTCTTGCTTGTGAAGCACAAAAACGGTAAGTGCATTAAGTGGTATGATTAACAAGTCCCTTTTTAAAACATGTCTATGTCTATGAGGTCATAGCAGCTACCTTTACCCTTCGTGAATTTAACCAAACATCTAGACTGCAAATATGAACAAATGGAGGCCATACAACTTCAATTGAAAGGCTGACTGATACCTTTTCCTAGTGGCTGTTCCTCTGAACAACATTTGTAGGGTCTCATTTCTGCAAAGAAGCTGACATGCCCAATTTCCCAGGCATTTTTGATTATTTGTACAGCTTTAATATTTGCATTTTTGCTAGTGTCAGAGTTTAAGTGAACTGAAACTGCTATCTGGAATATGGGGAACTGTAGCTGAATAAAGATACATTTTTCCTTGTAAAAAAAGCAGATAGAATAATACATGTGAGGCATCTGCCTAAGACTACTCCACTAATAATAGTTAGGGTTTTGAGTGTTTCCTTTATAGCTCAATTACCATTTATAGGACACATTTTATTGCCTAGGTGAGATCCCTAATTTTGTCCTAATATTTTAAATGCATATCTGATTCACATTACAAAGACCAATATTCCCATCATTGCTATTGCCACATTTATGACAATCTCAAGAAGACCAAAACTGAATGAACATGGAAGAGAGAATAAACTGCCTGCTCACTAATACAAATTGAGCCAGTTTGAGTCACACTGTTTGGTGCTCCGCCTGCTTATCCATCCGCCCCCTCCCCCCCCAAAAAAGTATTTTTCCTTAAGAAAGTCTTGAAAGTGCCTACCCTACACTACAAATACAGCCCCTTAGTTAGTGTAACTCAGATGAAATTCACACTTTTTACATATTACATTATGTAATTGCCATTCTATCCTAAAATTGGTAGTCAAATTTTTCCCATTTGTGTTTTCTGTAAATCACATGCTATAACCAGCGATTAAAAACCCATTCAAATAGGGTGAGTACACGGATTAGGAATGGGGAGAGAGAATTGATGGAATGCTGGCACCTTCCCCTTGAAGGAAGGGATTAAGTTTGAGAGCAGAAATAGTCCAGATATCATTAATGATCTTTTCAGTATGAAAGGAAGAAGCAAAAGAGCACCCCATATACTCTTGTTTTCACAGGGAAGTTACAGGAGTGAAGAGCAAGCTACAATTAAGTTAAGGCATGAATATTTCTTATACCTAGTCACATGTGGTAGAATCCATACTTGAGTGAATGCATACAGGTAAGTGAGAGTGAGAAACAGAATGAGGGAGCTACACTAGCTAAGAAGTGAAGGAGAGGAAGATCAGGAAGATGCAGGCAAGAGAAAATGTAGGATCCAAAGTAAAGAAAAGAAGATAACATTGAAAAGAAAGAGGAAAGAATACAATAAGCATGGAGAGAAAAAGAATGGAAAGATACTCTCTCCAAACAATGCAACATATACAGATGGAAAAGTGGAATGAAACCAGAAAGAGGAAACAAGATACAAGAAAAGCACAGGAGACAAAGGTTATATTGTTGCAAAACTTAATAAATAGGAAATAGACTGATAATGAAAACATAAACATAGTATTCTTTTAAAGTGTCTAGAGCCTGGTTTTGAGGGCTGTAATGACACAGGTGTTTCTCACATGGGCTAACAGAAGATGTTGGGAAAAGTTGTGACAGGACATTCCTTGCATTGAACAGAATATACCATTTATCTTCACACTGCTGATAGTCAGACTCATATTACCTATTGCCCTCTCTCTGGTTTTATAGGCTGTATCAGGTTTGTAGCACTCTCTCTTTATTCCTATGCCCTGAAAGAGGAAAGGAACTAAGTGAACACTACTCCTCGACAAATATCTTGTAGGTCACTCCACAACTTATCTTCTTTCATTCAATGAGTAGTTTTTATTTATAGGTACTCATTAGTATTTGATTTAGAGGGCAGTTCTTTACTCACCTCAAAAAGCTCACCTTTCTAAATACCATAATTATTGTCAATAAAGAATAAAAAGAGGCAGCGTGAAAAAAAATACTGTTTGATTATGTAATTAAAGACTGCACCATAAAGCGTGTGGATGGGAGCAAAATTAAGGTTACACAGCCAACCATAACTCTGGTATTTCATAAAGTACAGGAGGGGTCCCCATGAAAAGACATTAAACAGTGTCCTCCTCTTCTCCCTGCCCCCCCCCCCAAAAAAAAACCCCAATCCCACTCTGAACATTGTTTAGGTTATAAATTAAAGCACTTTAAAGTTAGGAAATGTCAAAACTGAGGTTGCCTATGCACTATGATAAACATACTATTTCTTCCTGCCTCATTAAATAAACAGAATTGTTTGTGTTACAGTAGTAGTCAGAGGCTCCAACATCAAGGCCTCATTGTGCAAGGTACAAACAAGATACAGCAGTGAAGTGACTTGCCCAAGATTACACAACAGGTCCGATCTGAGGAACAGGATCAAGGTATAGAATCATGACAGCAGTGAGAGGCTGCAATTGGACCTATTCCTCTGCCTCATTAAATAAACAGAATTGTTTGTGTTACAGTAGTAGTCAGAGGCTCCAACATCAAGGCCTCATTGTGCAAGGTACAAACAAGATACAGCAGTGAAGTGACTTGCCCAAGATTACACAACAGGTCCGATCTGAGGAACAGGATCAAGGTATAGAATCATGACAGCAGTGAGAGGCTGCAATTGGACCTATTCCTCCCCCCCACACACACACAGAGCAGAATTTTAAATTTCAGCTGCAAAACTTTTATAATTGGTGAAAATACACAGGCAGAAAGTTATACTAGTAAAGCACATCTTGACCTAGATTTCACACTGATTTTGCAGGGCAAGTTCAATTCAGAAGCTACAAACGATATACTGGTTGTTTAAAAAATCAGCATGTTTTAAATTCAGAACATGGTTTTGATCAATTTTATGTCTTATACAGGCAGTCCCCGGGTTACGTACAAGATAGGGATTGTAGGTTTGTTCTTAAGTTGAATCTGTATGTAAGTCGGAACTGGCGTCCAGATTCAGACACTGCTGAAACTGATCAGTTTCAACAGCGGCTGAATCTGGACACCAGTTCTGACTTACATACAGATTCAACTTAAGAACCCCAGGCATCCCCAAGTCAGCTGCTGCTGAAACTGATCAGCGGCTGATTCCAGGAAGCCCGGGGCAGGGGCTTCCTGTAGTCAGCC